TCATAAATCTGAGATAGTAAAGCATAAAATAAAACCGTTATTGCATGCTCCGTATGCACTAACTGCTGTATTTTATGGACGATGATGATTGGTTGGTAACCCAGCTGGTACGGCTGGGTTACCAAACGATCATTATCGTCTATAAAATACAGCAGTTATTGCATACTTCGTATGCAATAACTATATAATATTTCACGCAGCATGTTTAAATAACTACCAAAGAAATCAAGACAATAATAACGCGGCGAATCGTATCTGTCCTGTGGGAAATAGAAGACGACACAGAATACGTCATATAGAATTATGGAGAGAAGCTAACAGAGGAGATTTTAGACCCAGAAGAAGATAATATATCACATTGATAATGAATAATAAATTTCACACCCAAATTTCAAAACCGCAGTGAACCGCAGTTGATCCAAATTCTGGATTTTTTTTATACAAGGCTTTAGATTACATCAATTTAAAAACGTGATTTAAAAAGTGAAGCCAAAAACCAGAAAGTGGAAAAATGCAGGAAGAATCACGTTTTTCCTTTTATATTAGTGAAACTGCAATTCTGATTGTTTTGTGTTACCCCGGGAGTGGAAAATAAGCTTATATAAATTTAAAATATATACATAGAATTCACTTTTTTCACTTTTTTTTTCTAGATATTATGATTATCTGTGTATGTTTTATCTATTAAGTAGTATTAGTATATGCTCTCAAGTACTAACGTAATAATATTGTTGCGATCCAAAAATTGGCTAATGCCAATTTCACTGAACGCTGGTATTAATACGTTAGTACTTGAGAGCAGGAAGAAGCTGCACTTCCTCATAATTGATTGGGGTTTGCTAAGCAAACCCCAATCAAAGCCTGTAATATACATATCATTTAAATTTATCTATACATTTTCAATGATACTTTTGATACTGTATTTTTCTTTGTAATTATTTTATACGTATCTAATTAATAATTCAAAATTGTTATAAAAGTAGTAAGTTCTACTATTTAAAAATATAAAAATGAATCAAAAAATATTTACACAAGTTTCAAACTGGTATTTTGAAAAAAAAAACTAAAGATGGAATTAAAAATCAAATTCATTATGCAGAAGATCTTAATGGAAATTTATATCTCCAAGTCAAACTGACACAAGATTAAATCATAATTACAGATTTAAAATATTTTCAACTCATAAAAGAATATACATGGTATGCTCATAAAGCTAATTATACTTATTATACAAGAACACATTCAAACAAAACACAGAAAAGTTTCCATCAACTTATTCATCCTGATTGGAAAATAACAGATCATATCAACCATGAAGGACTTGATAATCGAGAAAAAAATTTAAGAGAAGTTACTCATTCACAAAATAATTTAAATAAAAGATTACAGAAAAACAATACTTTGGGATATAATGGAATCATATATCATATTGATTACAAAGCTTGGGGATTTACATGGAAAAAAAAAAATAAACTTAGAACAAAATGGTATTATGTTAATAAAAATCAAACTTATGACCAAGCTAAAAAACTAGCGATAGGTTTTAAATTACAACATGATCGAATTACTAAAAATAGAAATGGTTATCCTATAAAGAAATATTAATCTGGATTTTTGAAAATTGAATAATTAAAATTAACATGACACTATGTAAATTTTAATTACAAATTAATTATTAAATTTACTTGTGAAAAATAGAAAATCGAGAAATATTTATTAAAAATATCAGAAAATTATTAATTAAAAAAAATATAAATATAAACAATTGAATAAATAAATTTAATAAAGATGAATCAAGATATTAAAGAAATCAAGATTGAAGCAGAACAACTTCTTAATGAATTTAACAATTCGTTTATTCCAAAACATCAAATGAAAGAAAAATGGTCGAGAAGGCAGAACGAGATTTCATACTTTGATGTTTAAATTCACGTGTCGATAAATTATCAGAAATTTTTGCTTATTGGGCAGCGTATTATTTAGAACACGGTTATAGTATTGAATATACCGATGATAATGAAAGACAAAAGGATAAAAAAAGAAGTATTGAATTGTATAAAGATGCTGCTGATAGATTACATTCCGATTCCGCAACTTGTTATGCAGTATATCTAATGTCTTATTTTTAGAAAAACGATGAAGAAGAAGTAAAGAATAAACATAAACAAGATGTTCTTTATTATCTTCATATAGCAGCCGACTGAGGACAATCTGATGCTTACTATTATCTGGGTGATATTCTTTGTTATAGTAAGCTTGGATCTAAAAAAGAAATAGGATTGGGAAAAGCATATTTAGAAGCTGCTATCAGATTAGGTAACGAAAAAGCAAATAATAAATTAATTGATGATCCTTCAGTCAACTGAAGAATCATCAATTAATTAGATTTATTAAAGAATTATATGAAAACCGCGTAGCTCAATTAGAAAGAGAAAATGATGATTTAAAAGATCAAATTCAAAAATTGAAAAAAGAATTATTTAAAATTTAAAAATGGCTTATGAAATATGAATTTAAATAAATAAATAATAAAATAAATATGAAAGTTTTTAAGATATACATGTAAGATAATTAAAAATTTTTAAGTATATAGAATATTTTATTTATTCATTAATAAATATTCTTTTTTTAATAAAGTTTTTTATGTTTACAAGATTTTGATAGTCGTTATTTTGTACGTGTTCTATATCAAGAATGTCATATATTGATTTGATGATTTCTTTTTGATTTGTTATATTATTCACGCTGTTATTTGGTATTAAAGTGTTATATATTTTTAATAAATTATTATCTGAATTTATACTTAGTATTGTACAGATTTCTGCTATTAAAGTATTGATCGTTTTTTGCTCGTCGATTAATTTCTTAAACAAATCAAATTCTTGTCTTAGTGATTTCACCTCTTTTCCGTACAAACTTTTGATTGAATTAATTTCTTCTTTTAATAAATTCATTTCTTGTTTAACAAGTTTGATAGGATCTTGATAAACACGCAATATATATTCATAATAATTCTGTATCTCATTTATATAATCAAGTTTTTTATAAGAAAGCTTATATATATTATCAACAGCATCATAAGTTATTTCTTTGTTTTGTATTAATGATAATGTTACAAGAGTATTAGTAGTATTTTTCTAAATCACATATTTAGAAACTTTTTCACCACAACCATAAAAATAAGCCATAGACATTGTTTGATATTTTACAGGATTATTAATATATCTACTATTAAAAATTTTAAAAATTCAATATAGAAAATACATTTCATTTAATTTTGTTATAGGATTATAAATTTCATATTCATCATTATTTTTATTTTTAATTTTATTTTCTGTCAAATATGAAAAGTATTTTTGAATCTCTTTAACAAAATCGATGTTGTTATATTTATTCACCCCTCTGTTTGTTAAATAATTATAGGGTATTTTATTTTCCTTTTCGTAATTGATAGGTTGGTTATGCAAAATTATCGAAGAACTAAGATTCGTACTTTTCTAATTTACTATATCTGGTGAGATGTTGATATCACCACCATTCTTGTAATAATTTATTATTAATTCTTGGTATTTTTTTTGGATTAGTGGTTAAATTTGATTTACAGATATAATGTAATTTGTGTACAAATAACATATCCGAAAAACTAACTAATGTGTTTTCTATTGAATAATTTATCTTTCAATTGAAGAGAATTTTATTCTTTGTCCAGGTTCTTTCTGACTAGGTTTTACTACACTGTCTGATTCTTTTGTTCTTAAGTATTTACAATATTCATTTACAGTATCGAAAAAGCTTTTTAAATATCTTTTTTTATATTCTTTACTGAAAAAATCATAATATCCATTGGATAATTTGAATTTATTAACAACAAAGTTTGAAAAATCCTATCTAAATTTTTATCTGATATTTTATTGTTCCACAAATCCATTAACACATTTTGAAATAAAGATTTTTCATATTTGCTATTATTAACCCATTTTAAAAAATATACCTTTTCCACATGTGTTATTTTATCAAAATCGATTAACAGGTATTCTTTTTTATTTAAAGTGGTATAATATTTTTTATTTATCTCCAATATTGAATCAAGATCTGTGTATATATTTTGAGTATAATTCACCTGAAGCTTTTCACAAATTGCTTTAACTTTAGTTTTTATCAATTCAAGATCTATATTTACAGGATTCTTTGATAAATAATTACAATAAATATCAATTATACCAGAGCGTTTTGATAACATTTCATCACCTAATACAAATGTGTTATCTTTTATAGATTTATATAATTTCATAATCAAATTAACAAGTTCTTCACGTTTATGTAGTTTTTTATCTTCAATATACCAAATTTCTTTGGTGTGATTGGTAAACACATCTAACTCTATTGGATTGATTTTTCTATCAAAATAAAAAGTACTAATAAAACATTTTTGAAATGCTTTTTTAAAAATATTTGACTTTTCTTCAACCATAACATTCATTGATATTAATTGTTCTATCAACCCCATTACCAATATTTTTCGAGTATGTGATATGTTCAAATCAAATATCGGATATTGCTCGTTGAGTAACATATTATTTATTACTAATATGTTGTGAAAATTTAAGAATCGATTTGATGTTTTCAACCACATCCTTCCTTTCTTTTATAGCTAAATTTTTATATATTTTCTTAATAATTTCTTCAAATTTAAATTGATCATATTTTTCAATTTATTTTCTAACTCATCAATATAATTAAAGGTAATTAACTATTCCCATTTTAATTTTGCAATTAAAGGATTGATAGTTGATCTTCTTATCCATTTCATAATCTCGTTACGAAATTCTACAGAATATTTGTAATAATATTTGTATTCAACATAATTTTTATTTTGAATCATGTTATTAAAATAACTCTTTATGTAATTGTAAATATACACGAACATTTCCTTGATTATTAATTTTAAAATCAATTATTATTTATATTATTTTCAATTAATAATTTAAATACAATAAAAATAACTGTAACAAATTTCAAAATCAATCATCATCAGTAAAAATGTTTTCAAATCAAACTGATATAATCATTTCGATTCAACCATTTGGTTTGCATTTTTTAAGATATAAACAATTAAATTCTAAATTAGAAGAGTCTTATAAAATAATGACTCATAATGATCTAATTTACACTGAAATTAAAGAAAAATATTTATTAATTCCTATCTCTATTTATGTTTTTTATAAAAAAACTTTTGAAAGTGAAACTATTTCAAAAAAAATCAAACAATTATCTTTTTTACAAAAAAAAGATAAAATTATCTTTATCTTTTATTCGCAAAATAATTCATACTACTATTACGATATTGATGACAATAAAACTGAAAATTTTACAAAAGAACATAAGATGATTGAACATTATATTCAAAAATATATGAATGATTTTTTCAAAAAGGCAGAAGAAAAAAAAAATTAAAATTAATCTTGAAAATAAATCTCCAATTCAAAATTTTATTAAATCTTATTGATCCCGAGAATTGAAAACCAAGACAACCAGTAATACCGTTACTAAAAAAATATTTATTGATAATATCGACATATACAATCATAAAAAAAGAAGTATAGAAAAAAAATTTTAAACCAAATTAATTAACAAATACAAAAACAAAGAAAAATCTATCTCTGTAAAAACAAGTAGTGGACGTGAAATTAATTTATTACAAACCTTTGTGATTTCAAGTGATGATTCTGATTTTGATATTGAGAAGATTGAAGATTCAAAACCTAAAAATACATTAAAAAAAGTCAAAAAAGGAAAACATACAAAAAAAAGAAATAGATATGATAATAAAAAAAATAGTGATGATGAATATTACATTGTGTCCAATGGTTCTGACAACATTGAATACGAAATTTATGAAAATGAAATTGAATTATTAAAAAAGGAATCTAAAAATTTTATTAACAATTGGAATCATAAAGAAAATAAAATTAATCAAACCAAAATTTTTGACAATAAGAAACCAAAAATTGATGAAAATATTGATGACAATATTGATGAAAGTATTGATGATATGGGATATAAATATAACGAAACTAATTTTGAAAATTTTGAATTATTACTTAAACAAGAAAATTTTTCAACATTATATGATTTAAAAAGTTTTTTAACAAAAAATATAAATAATATTAAAAGCTTAAGAATTAATATCGAAGAGAGTAAGTTTATGAAAATTGATAATGATCTTATTATGAGAGGATTTACAATTTTATATAATAATGGAGCAAAAATTACAACTCCTCTTTATAAAAATCAAGAATTATTTGTAATTGAAAATTTCCGTAAAGAAACAAAAGTTTATAATTTAAACGAATAGAATAAATAATTATTAGTTTATTATTTATGTATTTCTTATATTTAAATAAACATATCTATAAATAAAAAATTATTTTTAAAATGTATCTGTATCATTATAAATCTAAAAAATATTATTATAAACTACTTAGGTTTAATTATAATCAAGATAATTATTATAATGATTACTATGAAGCAAACCCTGATTATACAATAAAATTAAAATATAAAGAAGATGATATCATCTCTACCACATCATCAAATCCTAAAAAATATTCGTTTCATTATTTCATCGAAAAGAAATACATAACTTTTATGTTTACTGAAAATCAAAATTTTACAAAATTGGAAATATACAATACAAAAAATCCTATCTCAATCAGTGAATTAAATTCGTTAGGATTTACTATTTTTATCAAAACCAAAGATAGTCAATTTTTAGATTTGTCTGAAGATAATTCATGTATCAAATACATTCAACTATTTTAGATTCGTTAAAAATTTTATATCACGATAACATCATTTATGAACTTTAAATTATTTATTTATTATTTATTAATCAAATTATTATAAATAAAGATACCAAATTTTACATATTTCAATATTGAATTTACAAAAAAAAAATAAACAATATGCCTAACGTAAATCAAAATATGATTAACAGATGCCAATATTTAAACATATCTCTTAACAACCTTATAAGCAAAACAAATGAAAAATATGGTTATGTTGACAAAAAAAAATTAATAAAACATTATATGAATTGTCTAAAGAAAAAAAATCCAAAAATTGAAAAAAGTATGATAAATATAAAGAAGAAAAATATCTACAAAATTCTGTTATAAATTCATTTACAGATACCGAGAGTATTTTCTCATCAGATATTGTCATATATGATTTATGTAAAAATAATAACCATAACTATAAAAATAATAAGCATATTCTTTGCTTAATAGATGATGTATATTTGTGTAAATAGCTTGTCTGTGGTAACTCTATTATTAATAGAAAAGAAAAAGGAAATTTAATTTATCATTTGTAATTTTATTAATAAATATATGAATATTTAAATCCATCAATATGTAACTTTCAAATTACCAAAAATAAAATGAATTCATTATCTTTTGAAATTCTTTCAATAATTTTTTTATTTTTGATTTATATCGATCGTAAAAATTTTTTAGACTATGTTTTGGTTTCGAAATTATTTGCCATAGCTTCTCTTCCTTATTTATGGGAAGATCCTTTTTATTTATGTGTCGGAAGAAACTATACGAGATTACAAAAAATAATTTATTATTACTTATCTGATAAAGAAAGTATTTTATTTCAAATTTATTCTTCTCACTTTGATAATATAGAAAAACTTCTTTTCGATTATATATCCCACATCAGACAAATTCGTGTTGATAGTATTTTTAGTATTGTTACTCATAGAATTGATTATGAATTCGATCTTCATAAAGATTGGAAAACCCAAGTTACAAAAACCATTCTCGAATTAATATTCAATTATTCGAAAAAAATCACTTATTTTCAACTTTCAAACAAATATAAATCCAACATCACCAATCTTATAGTTAAATACAATTCAAAACATAATCAATATATTTATCTGGACACCACCCGTCCTAGTGATTTACTTAAATTCAATAACATGTACGGAAATGCCCTTGGGTATGAGAAACGGGATAGTCAAGGTCATTCTTCATTTTGTATCTCTACCAATCTCCAAATTTTTAAAAAAATCAATTCAGAAAATATTACAAATATCAGGTTCAGAAATGTTAAATTTACCGAAAAGGAAGAGAAAATATTGGATTATTTCGTATCGTTGAAAAAATTAAAATGTCTTAGCTTTATTAATACAAACATCGACAATATTCAAACTATTTATGAAAAGTTTAAAAATTCAAAAACTTTAGTGTATTTAAAAGTTATCTCGTATAATCTTAGAAATTTCGTTTTTACAGAAAATTTTTCCATGAAATTCTTAATAATGAAAATATCAAAAACATCATTATCAGATTTAATTGGAAAGAAGAAAATTTCTTAATCGATAAAAGAAATTCTATTAAGAAATACAAATGTTGGATAACAAATCATTAATATAGATCTTCACATTCTTCATAATAACATTTCATATCGAAATCGTTATTAGTTAAATTTATAATTAGTGATTTGCAGTTTAATTTATGTTTCCAATATAATGTTTCGTTAATTATCTTTTCGATTAGTAAAACTTTATCATTATTTTCATTAATATTATGTTTATTATTAGCATGAGAAAAAATAAAATAATTATCAATTTGATTAACTTCATTTTAATAAAATGAGATTCTCGACTAATTATTAAATATTATATTTATTTATTAAATAATTATTAATTCAAATATTATAAAATATTAATAACATCTTTATTAATGAATTAAACATGAACGAAACTTTCGTACAAGTATCAAACTGGTACTTTGGAAAGAAACATAAAGAAAAGATTAAAAATCAAATTCGTTACGTTGAAAATCTTAATGGAAATCTTTATCTTCAAGTCATACTTATACAAAATCAAATCATGATTACAAATTTAAAATATTATCAACTTGTTAAAAATCATCTTTGATATACTTCTAAAGAAAAAAATACATATTACGCAAAAACAAATTTAAATAAAACAACAAAAAAGTTTCATCAATTAGTTCATTCTGATTGGTCTATGACAGATTATATTAATCGTAATAGATTAGATAATAGAGAAAAAAATTTAAGAGAAGTTACAAATTCCCAAAATTTATTAAATACAAAATTATATAAAACCAATACTTCAGGTTTAAATAGGATTGATTTTGTTTCTAAACATAACGCATGTAGATTTAGATGAAAAGAAAATAATAAACATAAACAAAAATGGTTTTGTGTTAATAAAAATAAAACTAGTGAACAAGTAAAGCAATTAGCAATAGAATTTAAATTAAAACATGATAAAATTACTGGAAATTGAAATAGTTATATTGTTTAAATTATATTTATTATTAAAAATAAATAAAATCTGAGAAATTTTAGTTTCATACATTTAAAAATGTATTACTTATCACACAAACCACGTAAAGGTATTTCTCACTTGTGTGCTAAAAACTAACAAAAATCCAAAGAGCCAGATTCTTTCAGGAGAGGAATAATTCAGCCCCCAGACTATAAATGAAATATCTCTTGTCATGCTTATCTGAATCAATATTTAAAAAATTACCAATTATCCTTACTCAAGTATATGAAGTAAAACCACGAATATAAAATTCTTCAAATTCAAATATACAAGGCATAAGGGGAAGCTCAAACTAGCTTAGTTTAAACCTTATGCTAT